TAGATACATCTTTTTTTTTTTTTTTTAAAGATTTTAACAACTGTTGAGTAATGTCTACACCAAATGTGGGGCTTAAACTCATAACCCTGAGATCAAGAGTTGCATGCTCCACCAACTGAGCCAGCCAGCTGCCCCTAGATATATCTTTTGACGTGCACTTTGGGGAATGAGATTAAAACCAGTGGTGAAATGAGATGTAGACAGTAATATTTGAATTACAACATCAAAATGTAAGTAGACTGTTAGTAGAATTCAGAACTTTCAAAATTTAAAATCTAGCACCAAAACATACAGACATGTATTCTCAACACTAATAAATCTTGATTGTATGGTATAATCCTACTCCCCCCTCAACCTCACATGAAATAGATTAAACTCTGCCATATAGATTTTCACCATGGTTAGTGAGCATTAGGAGATAAAAGGAACCCTAAAGCTCAATTAGGCAGTTCTCTCGTTTTCTCAAATTCTTCCTTAAGGAAGAATAAGCTTCCTTTGCGCACAGCTGTTTAGTACTAGAGTTGATTCTAGGTCATTGGATCATTGGATTCCTATTCTGTTTCACTTTCTACTATCTGCTATTTAGTGTTGTTATTATTTTAATCTCTTTCTTCTGTCTTCCATATCTCCTTCACGCCTACATGTTAATGTGTGTTGGACAGTGATATCTGATGGTTTTGTCTCTCTTTAGACATTTTCACTTTATTTTTGGTTTCTGTACTTATCATCTAGGCATCCAGTACTTAGGTTACTAATTGCCTTCTGGCTGTATTCACTACTCCTATTAGCTTTCTCTGCCTTTGTTGTTTGCAATTTATTCTTTTTTGTTTGTTTGTTTGCAATTTATTCTGTTCACTACTGGTAAATAGCTATTCTTTAAGAAAAAATCTTCCATCATGTATTTTCCAATTTAAGGTATGTACTAGTTACCTGTTGTATATATGATCAGAATTCTCAGTCCAGGGGTGCCTGGGTGGCTCAGTGGGTTAAAGCCTCTGCCTTCAGCTCGGGTCATGATCTCGGAGTCCTGGGATCGAGCCCCACATCGGGCTCTCTGCTCAGCTGGGAGCCTGCTTCCTCCTCTCTCTCTGCCTGCCTCTCTGCCTACTTGTAATCTCTGTCTGTCAAATAAATAAATAAAATCTTAAAAAAAAAAAATTAAAAAAAAAAAAAGAATTCTCAGTCCAGAATTCAGATGACTTTCTCAAGTGATGATGCCTTACCTATTTGATCATTTGTGTATTTATTTATTCTTACTGAAAAATGTGTTTATTACACTGATGAGCATATTTCTATTTATGAGATGTCTATTATTTGGACATACGTCTATTTATGGAGAATATCTGATTAATTGTGAATTTATCTTCCAGTCTTACACACTCCTTGTCTGTTCCAACTTTTGAACTGGTTAGGTTACTTGCCTTTCACAATTGGAAACTTCTGAGTACTCTTTTCTTTCTGTTGTCAGTGATGAATAATGTTTTCTCCAGATTTATGTTTTAGGTGTGCTCATTTTTACTATAAGGAGAGATGTATTTGATCTGAAGAGAAACCAGAGTATTCATTTTTATTATAGACAAGAGAAGTGCTATGTATCTGAATGCACTGTGAGTTTAGAAAATGTTATTTTAGAAGTGTATCAGTTGTTGACAGGCAGGAAGAAAATATAGTGGACAGTCTCCTTGGTGCTATATTTTGCTAGAATATGTGCAGTAAAATGAAATGATTTCTGGGGTTGGAGAAGGATATAAGATTGTATTGCTGCAGCTTAAGGTCATAGGAAATAGGAGAGAAAAATAATTCTTTTCCCACTTTGTCCATAAAGTGGGAAAAAAGCAGGATTTAGCTTCAGCTTTGAAATTGGGTCTAGGTTGAATGAAGAAGGCTATGGGAAAGGTTTACTTAAGAGATTATAGGTGTAGGTCCCAGAGAAGAGCTCATTACTGGTTCCGCGATCTTAAGAGACAGCTAAATAATCTAACTTGATTTGAACCCAAATGGTAAAGGACATACTTTTCTTAGGGTATTGGGGCTTAGAAGTATACTTAAATGTTAGGAGCCAGTACCTGTGTGATTTGTACCTTTACCTTCATGTGAAAGTATGTTACATAGTCAATATTTTAAACACCTATAATGTAACAGGCCCCGTACCAGACTGTATGTTTATGATGAGGAAAAAAAATAATTTTGGCCTTAAAGGAGACTGAGAGCAAAGTGGGGAAAACAAACTTACATATATATTAATTGCCATAGGAAGATATATATAAAGTGCAAGATAATTTAAATTAGGAAGCAGTGAACTGTGCTTTGGGACAGTCAACGGGGAAGAGAATGAATACTTCAAGTGATTTGAATGAATTGTCATTGTAAAAAAGTTCTATAACCAGGTTGCCTGGGTGGTTTAGTTGGTTAAGCCTTTGGCTCAGGTCATGATCCCAGGGTCCTGGGATTGAGTCCCACATCAGCTCCTTGCTCAGCGGGGAACCTGCTTTTCCCCCTCCCCCCCCCCCCCCCCCCCCCGCTCGTGATCTCACTCTCAATCAAATAAATAAATCTTAAAACAAAAAAAAGTCCTATAACCAGGATGAAATGCCCCTTTCTCTTTTAGTCTGCCTGGTAGAATAAAAGAACGAAGACTTTACTCTGTCCTCAAGATACTGTCTAGAGGAAGAAAATCATTTTCTATCAATTCTCTGTATAGAGGCCAGAAATGATCCTGTCGTTTTTTTGGTGTCCATGAAATTTCTGTGACTTGATCAAAATTGTTTACCATTCTGAGTCTCAGAACTAAACAAAAGCCTTTGCTGACTAACCTAGTCTTAGGCTGCTGTTTAAAAACATTTTTAATTCTCTAATATCTATACCCGTTTAAAGGTATCCTTTCAATACTTCTTCAAGATACCAGCTTAAAAACATATCATTTAAAAAATGTTTCATATATATCTTTCCTAATTAGATTGTGAAATTCTTTTTGACCTTTTAAGTCTAATAAATCGTATGAACTTAAAACATTTTTGTTGAATGAGAACTTCCCAGTACTTCTCTTACATGCTGAATTAGTTAGCTTTTGCTGTGGCAGTAAACAACTCCCAATTTTTGTGGCTTACAGTCAGAAACCTTTATTTCTCACTAGCATTCTGTAGGTCGGTTGCGCTCTGCTGGCTCAGCTGGTCTTCACAGTGCCTGGCTCCAGGCTGAGATCTGTTCCTTAGAGAACCCAGCTTGAAGGATCAAGTCCATCTGGGGCATGATCTTCTCTTCATAGAGTGCAGGAGCACAAGAAGGCTAATAGCAATACTTCTCAAAAGTGCTTTGTGGAATTGGCCCACATTTTGTTGGTCAAAGAAAGGTCAATGGCAAAATACATACCCAAAATGAAGAGTGTGCAAAATAATACTTGCCTTTGGGATAGGGAATGGGAGAGTGAATGTTTTTTGAACAATAATGTGACCTAATACAGGTATTTCTGAGTTAAACAGTGAGAGGTACAGGTGAAGTTACAAGTATGAAACTAAAGAATTTAGTGGGTGGGAGGCCTTCCAAGAACCTGGGAATGAAAAAAAAAATTAATTAAAACTTAAATTACTTTAACAAAAAGCATATCAGCATTACAACGTAGGGGGGCAGCAAAGGGTCCTAGTTAAAAACCTGGGTACAGTGAGAGGAACAGGTGAAATTAGAAGTATGAGACTAAAGAATTTAGTGGGTAGAAGGCCTTCCAAGGCCCTGCAGAATAAAACAAATTTCATTAAAACTTAAATTACTTTGGGCACCTGGGTGGCTCAGTTGGTTGAGTGACTGCCTTCGGGTTGGGTTGTGATCCTGGAGTCCTGGGATCTGGGATCGAGTCCCACATCGGGCTCCCCGCTGGGCAGGGAGTCTGCTTCTCCCACTGACTTCTCTCCTCTCATACTCTCTCTCTCTCTCATTCTCTCTCTCTCCCAAATAAATGAATAAAATCTTTAAAAACAAAACAAACCCCAAAAAACTTAAATTATTTTAACAAAAACTGTATCAGCATTACAAGGTGGTGGGGGCAGCAAAGTATCCTAGTTAAAAACCTGGGTTCTGGTGTTAGTCCATTTATTTTTAGATTCTGGATCTACTGCCTAGCTGCATACTCTAGAGCAAGTCACTGTATCTCAGTTTCCACATGTTTAAAATGGTTGTGCCACTTATAAATCTGTTGCTTTGTAATTCTAAATCCATTTCATTGTCCTTTCTGTAATACTGGAAATTTCTCTCTTGCCACCTTTTGTTAAGGTTTGTCAGTGGAAGGGCTCAAGGGAGACTAGAGAAGGAAGAAGTTTTTCTTCCTGATTCTTGTATGCACTGTAAGACACAGTGGCCTGTGGCATGTGGGACACCTTGGGGCTCTCAATCCCTAGGTAGTTTTAGAAGCGGTACTCCCAAATGCAGTTTTTTCAGTGAGTTCCATACTCTGACATCTCCCCATGGATACTTTCCTGAGTTCCACTGGCATACTGAGTTCTCCTACTAGATGACTTTATAGTGACTTCTGTTGGCCTGGCACTCTGGTAAATTTCTCAGACATCCATGGTCATGTCCTCACCACAGACCTGTATCTCAGCCCTGTTGAGAGTGACCCCTTCACAGATTTATTCCTCTCCTGTTGTTCCGCATCAGCCCTTGCTATAGTAGCTGCTCCCTATATATGTTATCTCTTTAGCCCTTAGTATTTTACCCCTGTTAAAATTAATACTGCTTTACATTTAACTTTTCCTGTTCAAATTATCATGTGTTTTTTTTTGTCTTCCAATTATACTTTGACTGATATATCAGGTTTATAAGTAATATTTTTCTCATACAACTGTTCTGAGGATTAAATAGGATACTATATGGTATTGCAGAGTGTTTACTATCTGCCATTGAGTAAGTCCGTAATGATTATTGGTGACATTGATACTTTCATCTTCATCATTTCAGCATCACTGTTGCTACCACTAGTTAGGAGTAACATTTCTCCTTTTTATCCACAGGATGTTTCGTCTTAACTCCCTTTCTGCATTGGCAGAACTGGCTCTCGGCTCTCGATGTTACCATGGGGGATCACAGCCCACCCAGATGAGGCGACGACTCATGATGGTGGCTTTCCTGGGAGCATCTGCAGTCACTGCAAGTACTGGTCTCCTGTGGAAGAGGTTAGTGTTAGTCGGAGAGTGTTAGTTAGGAGAGTTAGTCTCCTGCACGTGCTTTCGTTTTTCTCGTTGTCTCTGTTATTTCAAAGGATTGCATGGATTTCTGGCTTAACTTTGTGCCAAAATTTCTTGCCCAAATCATTTGCCATTGATAATAATTTGTCTATGAGATAGGATGTTTCAAAGAATTCAGCTATTGTGTCAAAGCAACAAATTGAAAGTATTCTGTTTCAAGGTCTGCCTGTCTCCTCTGCTGAACTATGTCAACAATAAACCGATTTAATAATTTCAATAATTTTAAAATAAATGATATATAATAAGAAACAAATAAATTTCATAATTTACCAATTTAGCATGTACAGTTCACTGGCTTTTAGTATATTTACAAAGTTGTGCAGCCATCACCACTATCTGATTCCAGAAATTTCCATCACTCCACAAAGAAACTCCATGCCATTTAGCACTTATTTCCCACTTTCTCCATCCCTCCTAACCCTAGGCAACCACTGATGTACTTTCTGTCAATAGACAATAAAATGGGGATAATGATAACACCTATCTCAAAGGGTTGTTATAAAGAGTAAATGAGTGATTATTTGGGGTTATTTATTTATTTACTTTTTTGTTTCCTATAGACTTTATTTATTTGACAGAATGCGAGAGAGCACAAGCAGGGGGAACGGTAGGAGGGGAGAAGCAGTCTTCCCACTGAGCAGGGAGCTCGATGATGGGTTGATCCCAGGAGCCTGGGATCATGACCTGAGCTGAAGGCAGATGCTTAACCAACTAAGCCACCCAGGTGCTCCAGGGGCTTTTTAAAATAGCATTTTATTTTATTTAATGTTAAAGTAGGCTTTTTACCCAGTGTAGGGCTCCATTTCACAATCCTGAGAACAAGAGTTGGATACTCCACCAACTGAGCTAAGCCAGGTGCCCCAAGTTATTATTTATTAAATGCTTTAAAAAGTGCCTGGCACATAGCTTTGTAAATAAAAAACATTTATGGAGAAAGTACTTGGTACATAGTAAGCTATCAGTAAATGTTAACTGTTATTACTGGATATAATATGAAGATGGGAAGTGAAGGAGATAGAGTACTAGCAGAAAAGACAGTTTCCAAAAAAAGTTGGAGTTGTGATATGAAAGATCCTATACACCATGCCAAGAAGTTGCGATTTTTAAGTTTTGAAGGTTTTTTTTTTTTTTAATGATTTTATTTATTTATTTGAGAGAGAGAGAGAGAGCATGAGAGGAGAGAGAGATCAGCGGGAGAAGCAGACTTCCCGCCGAGCAGGGAGTCCGATGTGGGACTCGATCCCAGGACTCCAGGATCATGACCTGAGCCGAAGGCAGTTGCTTAACCAACTGAGCCACCCAGGCGTCCCTAAGTTTTGAAGGTTTTGAAGAAAGAGGCTGATCACAGACAGGTTTGAAGAGAGATTAATATAGCAACAACAGTGGAATAAACTGGAGTGGGAAGAAGCTACAGACAGACACTAATACTAGTTGGAGATGATGATGTGGGTACTGGAATCTTAGAAAGAAGTGTATGGCTTTAAAAAATTTCCAGGTAAAATGGACAGGAAGAGAGGGAGAGAAAGATCTAGACTATGGGACACAGACAGAAGGAGGAAAAGAGGGAGGCAAAAGAAGGGAAGGGGGAATAGGAAATACACCTTTTGTCCTTTCACTGTAATAAATAGTAAATGCTTAGTAATTTCTTCAGGGATGCTTTCCTGCAGTGCAATTAGAGGACCCCATGCAGGTGCATATAGCATTGTCTTTGGCTTAGTCTAACATCAAAGGTGACAGCAGCTGTACCTTGAGAGGTTTTATGATGATTTGAATGTTTAAGAAGTTACTTTAAGAAAATTTTTTCTTGGGGCACCTAGGTGGCTCAGTGGGTTAAAGCCTCTGCCTTTGGCTCAGGTCATGATCCCAGGGTCCTGGGATCGAGCCCCACATCGGGCTCTCTGCTCAGCAGGGAGCTGGTTCCCCTTCCTCTCTCTCTCTGCCTACTTGTGACCTCTCTCTCTCTCTCTGTGTCAAATAAATAAAAAATATCTTTTTTTTTTTTTTAAAGATTTTATTTATTTATTTGACAGAGAGAGATCACAAGTAGACGGAGAGGCAGGCAGAGAGAGAGAGAGAGGAGGAAGCAGGCTTCTTGCTGAGCAGAGAGCCCGATGTGGGACTCGATCCCAGGACCCTGAGATCATGACCCGAGCCGAAGGCAGCGGCTTAACCCACTGAGCCACCCAGGTGCCCCTAAATAAAAAATATCTTTAAAAAAAAAACACAAGAAGGTTTTTTCTTTCTCTGAGTCACTTTGTTTATACTGTTCAGGTTAAATGCTGATTAACAAGTTGAGGTTATTTTACTTTTATTAATTTATGGTATTTTTGGGTAATATTACTCCCAGAAAAAGAATAAGAAGACAATCTTATCTTCCAAAGCATCCAAAAGCAGAAAAATCTACATATTGACAGTGTGTCCTCAATACGATGCTTCTTCTAAAGCATATGCTTTTACCACAGATTCTAATTTCATGAATGTTTTAAAATCATAAATATACCAAGTGCTGAGATTTTAGTGTTAAAAAATTGTTAGTTTTGTGCCTTTGCTATGGCATGTAAGAAGCTACAAAGAGATGAACTTATAATTATTCTCAAGTTTTGAAATAAAGAATAAATAAAACTTGTTGCGATTTTCATGCTTATACTGAACTCAAGATCAATAGCAAAAACTCTCTAAAATGATTGTGAGTTATCTTGTTAGAATGCAGGCATAGAGTTTGCCATTTAATTTTATATCTTTTTTCCATCCTCTTAAAAAATTGGGAAATGAGCAGAAATTAAAATGTTTTCCTAAGAAGTGAGATTTAGAGTTCTTTTTGAAAGAGGGCGGGATATAATTTTAAACCTCAAAAATTTTTAAATTTATGAGCTTTAAGTTTTAAAACTTCAAAATTCGCTGATTTAAATTACAAAGAACAATATGATCTTTAAAAAAAGTCTAATACAGAAGTAAAGAAAAAAACCTTTTTTTCATCTCCAATTCCTGTTCCTGTACAAAAAATAATTAATAACAATACAGTACAGTACGATACAATACAAAAATACAGTTTTGAATCATGTAGGTGTATAACAAAGAATACAATTTGGAATGTTTGCCTTCAAACCCAAGTATGTTCTGGGATATATAATTAGGTATAGGTAAAGACCAGATATACTACTTGAATCTGCTAATGTAAATTAAGTATGATTTTTTTTTTTAAGATTTTATTTATTTATTTGACAAAGATCACAAGTAGGCAGAGGCAAGTGTGGGGGCAGGCTCCCTGCTGAGCAGAGAGCCCAGTGGGGGGCTCAATCCCAGGACCCTGGGATCATGACCTGAGCTGAAGTCAGAGGCTTCACCCACTGAGCCACCCAGGCGCCCCAAGTATGATCTTTAGAAACCATATTATAGTATTGTTAGAGAAGGAACATTTGTCATTTTACTTCTTTTTTTTTTTTTTTTATTTCCTCAGTCTCAAAACAGATGCTGAGATACAGTGGTCAGGATTCAGGGTTTGAAGTCTGAGTATGTGGGTTTAAACTGGTTATATAATCTACCTAATATCATTCTTCTACAGCCTAAAGTACTTCCTTTACTAGGAGTTCTTATCTGCTAGAGATAGATTCTGTCCGCTTTTGTCTGGAAATGTCTCTATTTTGCCTCCCCCCGCCTTTTTAAAAAGATTTTATTTATTTATTTGACAGAGATTACAAGTAGGCAGAGAGGCAGGCAGAGAGAGGAAGGGAAACAGGCTCCCTGTTGAGGAGAGAGCCCGACGCGGGGCTCCATCCCAGGACCCTGGGATCATGACCTGAGCCGAAGGCAGAGGCTTTAACCCACTGAGCCACCCAGGTGCCCCTTGCCTTCCTTTATGAAGGATATTTTCATTGGATATAGAATTCTAGGTTGACTTTTTTCTTTCCAGCACTTTAAGTCTGCCATTCTGTTCAGTGTTCAGTTTTGATTTTTGTTTTGTTTTCAGTATGGTATCCTCATTATAGTCTAGCATTTTTTTTTATTGTGGTAAGCTGTATGTAGCAACAGATTTACCATTTTAACGATTTTTAACTTCATTATCTATATTCACAGTGTTGTGTGACCATCACCATGATTTATCTAGAATTTTTTCGTCATCTCAAACTGAAACTCTGGACCCATTTAACAGTAATTCCCCATTTCACCTTGCCCTACATCTGTGGTTATTCTGCTTTCTCATTGTATGAATTTGAGAATTCCAATATGTGTAACCAACTGAAGCACCCAGGTGCCCTGAGCGTGCACCTTGATCTCAGGGTTGTGAGTGCGAGCCCTACATTGGGTGTAGAGATTACTTAAAACAAACAAACAAAAAAGACAAAAAGAAAGAAAAAGTACCATTTAGAAAATATGTTAGAAAGTACCGTTAATTGGAGGATCTGGAAAGATGACAGCATAGGAAAATCCTGAACTTACCCCTCTCTTAAAAACACTAAATCTATGGCTACATGTGGATAATTTCCCTTTGCAAAAGATCTGAAAACTATAGGAATTGGCGCCCATAACAAAGAATATAAGGACCACACCAAGATGGGTAGGAGAAGCAGAGACACAGTCCTACAAAAAACCCCATCCCCAGAGTGGCAACATTCAATAGAGAGGGAATTTCACCAGGCAGTGCTTCTCCCAGAGGAGAGAGGGGTTGGTGCCTCACATTAGGCACCCTAGAAACTGGGATCTGTACTGGAGAGACAAACCTGAGAATATTTGACTTGCAAAACCAATGAGTTTGACATCCAGAGGTCCCAGAATTCTATAGGAAACTGAGATTCCCTTCTTAGAGGGCTCATGTGCAGTCTCGTTTGCCCTGAGACCCAGAAAAAAGCAAAAATCAAAAAATCCCAGCAGTTTGAAAAGGACTTGGTAGTGATTCACAAACAGAAGGCATATAACAGGTATGGAGGTCC